GATAGGTCGCTAAACTTTAGCCTGGCTTAGGAAATTATATTAGGCCTCATTTTCCTCCATGCCATGTGTATGAGGGTCCCGAAGGCCCAACAATTAGACACATATGTGCAAGCATATTAATGTCAATTGCATTAAAAATGAATTTTTCTGTATGAAACTGTGTATTTTAATAATGAAATGAACCTTTTTTAAGGTTAAAACCTGATTTAATTTTAGGTCTTAAAAGTTTTATACTGAGTACAATATTGTATAACTGTATTAATTCAACTGTAACCAAAAAATTTACAGCCAATCTTGAAACAGATGCATCTTAGCTCTGGAAATTGTTATTGAATATGTCAATGTTGTTGTCATGAAATGCTTCTTCTAATTATGTGATTATTAAATAAATAGTTAAAAAAACAAAGTGTGTTTCCCATTTCTCAAGTCATTCCTACCATCTCCTAGAACTGTAAAACTAAATAAACCCCCTTTGATCCCAGCACTCAGGAGGCAGAGGCAGGAGGATCTCTGAGAGTTCAAGGCCAGCCTGGTCTACATAGTGAGTTCCGGGCCAGGTGGGGCTATAGGGAGGCCCTGTCTCAAAGACCAAAAACAAAACAAAAACAAACAAACAAAAAATAACTAAATAAACCCTTCCTTCCTTAAATTGTTTTTTATCAGGTGTTTTGTCACAGCAATGAGACAAGTAACTAATACAATATGATTCTTCCAGATCTGTGATAGTTAATTTTTTCTTTTTTTAGTCTTTTTTTGAGACAGGGTCTCCCTGTAGCCTCAGCTGATTATGTAGACTAGGTTGGTCTCACAGAGATCTGCCTGTGTCTGCCTCTAGAATGCTGGAATTAAAGATGTGTGTCACCACACCCAGCTTTGATGGTAACTTTTTAAAATATATTATTTTTATTTTATGTGTATGTGTATTGCCTGCATGTATGTGAGTGCACCTGTGTCGTGCAATGCTGCGGAGGTCAGAAGAGGGCTTTGGATTCCCCTGGAACCTGGAGTTAAGGATGGTTCCTAGCCGCCACGTGGGTGCTGGGAATTGAACCCAAGAGCAGTCAGTTCTCTTAACCGCTAGCTATCTCTCCAGCCCCAATAGTAATTTTTTGACAGCTCTTCTCTGATTGACTGGATGTGGTTATAATATAGCAGGCCTAGAGTAGAGAAGAACGGGACCCCAAGGTCTAGAACAGGGAGCAGTTTATTGTACATACAGTGACCCAGAGAGAGATTTCTCTGAAGCAAGGCCCCTAAACAAAGAAAAATTTAGCCCTTTATGCTTTTTTGCTTTCATGTCTCTTATAGATGACAGAATGTATTTTGATTGGTGTTTTCTTTAAACACTGTAAAAAATTACAAAATGACTGGAATGCTGGGGGAGGAGGTGGAATGCTGGGGGAGGAGGGAGACCATCAGGGCTTGAATAGAGGACAGGTAAAAATTCACATACAAGCTGGGCGTGGTGGCATATGCCTTTAATCCCAGCACTCAGGAGGCAGAGGCAGGCCTCGGTGAATTCAAGGCCAGCCTGGTCTACATAGTGAGTTCTAGGACAGCTGGGGCTACAGGGAGGCCCTGTCTCAAACAAACAAAAAAAAGATTCACATACAGACATCATTTATACCTTGTGCTATTATACACCCCCCCCACCACCTTTGATGTTCCAGTCCCTTTGATGGACCCAAGTGCCCCCAAATGATGGACCCAAGTCCCTCCAAAATGATGGGTTTAAACTAAAATCCCCCAGGCCTGAGAAAAACTGTACAAAAAAATAAAAATAAAAAATAATTCTAAAAACAAGCTGAGCTGACCTTTTTCATGCTCCTTGCCCAAGCTGGAAATCATCCCAGAAATTCCCCCTACCTCTGCTTGGCACATAGCCGCCACTTGTCTTTAAAAAAACCTGTGAACTGGGCTCTGGACTTCTGTTCTCCGAATGAGGTGGGAGTCCGTTTTGCAAAACGCCAATAAATCCTCATGCTTGTTGCATCTCCTGATTTGAGGACTGAGTTATTGGGGTACGACCTCCTGTGAATGTTGGGTACCCCAGTCTGGGGGTCCAACATTTGGGGGTGCATCCGGGATTCGGTCGCCCCCAGATCTCGCCCCCAGACCCATTTCCTCAGATCAGCAGGAGGTAAGACTTGTCTTGTAGTTTGTCTTGGTCTTAATGTCTGTCTCATTTCCTGCTCTGGGAACATTCCATCTGAACAGTTGTGCCTGTACAGGACCTGTAAGTCTGTATTCTGGGAACCAAGGGGAGTGGCAGACGTGCCCAGAGACCCCAGGTTCCAGCATTCTGGCCCTAGTGACCAGAGTGATCTGAAGTGAGGAAGATAGTATCTCCTCACCTCTGGAGAAGGGAGATTGGCTTGGCTACTCCCCTCCCGGTCTGTACTTTCAGTTTTGAGTCAGAGAGCGCACCGAGG